AATAATAATAATAATAATAATAATAATAATAATAATAATAATAATAAGTGCTATGTGTTGTCATCATTGTATGTTCCCATACAATGGCAAAATTAGTTCTCTGCATGTGTGCTAATAAAGTATTTTGAATATCAGAGCTGGAGAAAAACTGTTATATGAATTAAAAACATGATGAATAACAAGAGTTAATCTACATACTTGCTTCAGTTTTAGCATTTAACTACCATTTTGCTATTTTCACCATTTAGCAAGCTGAATTTAGCTTTTATCTAATTTTTAATTTTAGCATTTAGACTTTTTTTTGTTGCTAATCCTAGCTTTTTCTGAGATTCTTTGAGCTTTGTAAATTCCGTTTCAGCTTCTTCTAAAATTTTTGACTGGTCTAAATGTTATTTTTTATTTAGTAATTTATTAACCTGTATAAATAAAGGTTGCGTGAATAACGTTGCATAATATGGATCTCCTACATGCAATGTCAAGCTTCAGCCAGTAGATGGCGCGTGTACACCATGAGAACGCAGAGAACGCACACCGCCTTCAAACCGCAGAAGAAGAACGCCCATTTTGCCTGCGTTGTCTGCCTCGGTGTGCTGCTGACATATCAACACAAGAGAAAGAAACGCAATGGACGGGTAAACCTTTCCTTATGATATTAAAGCTAGTAATTCTGATGTGCTTTGCATATTTCGGCATGTGACACTGGAAGAGTGTGCCTTTCTTTCTGCGTGTTTCAAATAAAGCTAAACGTTAGCTTGTTTGTAAACCGCATGATGATGATTAGCTAGCGAGTCCCGTCAAGCAGCGAGAGACTCGTCGTGTCCTCTTGTCTGCACACAAACAAAAATTATGTTTGCGAGTTAATTTTAGGGCACGAGAGCTGCTTAGCTACTTAGCAAACAGTTCATAGTGTTCATTTCGTGCGTAAGACTAGCCAACTATGATCCTGCGAGAGATGCGTTGGGTGGTGTTAAGATTTGTTGATTTGATTATTAGATAATATTAATTGTGTTAAAATGTATTAAGAACTGGTTATGATCCACGGTAATGGACGTCGTCTGTACACTTGTCCTCTGCTGCTAGCTTAATCCCGACTAAAGTAACCATCCTTTGTCTGAGGCCAATCCAGGGCTCAACCTGTCAGAGGAACAAAAGAAGCGCGCCACCTTTATTATATGTTACTGTAAAATGTGCTGCTACATGTTATTCCTTTTAAAGCTGAGACCCATTGTTTTCCATTTTACAGGCAGGAAATAAAAGCATACAAGAACATGTCAAATTATGAACTAAATAAATGAACAGTATTAACCAACAGCGAATTTACTGGTGTAAATAATATAATTGTCCACTGGTAATTACTAGTCTGTTGTCTGTGGAAGCAAACATAATGTTTTTATTTTATTTATTACATATTTTGATTTGTTGTTGTTTATAAATGTGTTTTTGGTTTCTAAAATGTATTTTTAGTTTTGTCTTAATTTATCTACGCAGGCTCATTTTTATTCTGGAACAAAATAAATGATTTATTGTGCGAACAATCTGAAGTCCAGACATTAATTGAAATGAATTACTGGTAGTTCACATCGTTTTTCTTGTTTTGTCCAGTTGATTGTTAAGAACTGACAAATGCTTTTCTGTATTTCAGATTTTTCAGTAATGTAAATATAGTATTGCCTGCTGCTCGAGTAGTATTTATCACAATATGGGTAAATAAACCAATATATGGTGTTTTTTTTTTTTTTGGTTACTTAATGGTTTTACTGTTTGTCCAGACCATATATCACAATGTGATTAGAAAGAATAAATAAGCTCTTATTTGTCTTTCTTGCATAGAACGAGAGGCTAATAGAATAGAATAGAATTCAACTTTATTGTCATTGCACATGTCACAGGTACAAAGCAACGAAATGCAGTTTGCATCTATCCAGAAGTGCTTAGCAAGAAAAATAAATTGGTAGATATATATAGTACAATATACAGTAAGTTGCTTTGAATATGCTATAGGTATAAATATATACAGTTTGTGAGTGTACAGACTATGAACAGGTTATAATATGAAGGGGTATAAACAGCTATATAAAAGAAAAAAATATATATAAGTATGTGAGTACTTATGAACAGTAGATAGTAGATTATGTGTACAGTTTGTACAGTAGTGGGCTAACGGATGAAAGTGCAGGTGGTGGTGTTACAGTCCATGTGCTGTTGTTATGTGTATGAGAATACAGACCGTTGTTGTTATTCAGATGTCAGGAGGCAGAGTTCAGGAGTGTGACAGCTGTGAGGAAGAAGCTGTTCCGGTACCTGGTGGTTTTAGTCCGGAGGCTCCTGCAGCGCCTCCCAGAGGGCAGGAGGGTGAAGAGTCTGTGTGCTGGGTGGCTGAAGTCTTTTATGATTTTTCCAGCCCTTTTCAGACACCGCTTCCTGTAGATGTCCTTTATAGCAGGAAGTTGTGATCCGGTGATGTGTTGGGCGGCTTTCACCACCCTCTGCAGCGCCTTCCGGTCTGAGGCAGAGCAGCTCCCGTACCAGACTGTGATGCAGTTGGTCAGGATGCTTTCAATGGTGCAGCGGTAAAAGTTCACCAGGATGTCTGAGGACAGGTGGTTCTTCCTCAGAGTCCTCAGAAAGAAAAGACGCTGGTGAGCTTTCTTGATCAGTTTGGAACAGCTGGTCGTCCAGGTGAGATCCTCGGAGATGTGGACACCCAGGAACTTGAAGCTGTTCACACGCTCCACCACCGCCCCCTTGATGTAGATGGGTGGATGTGGGCCAGCGTTCCTCCTAAAGTCCACGATGAGCTCCTTAGTCTTCTCGGTGTTGAGCAGCAGGTTGTTGTTGTCATACCACTCAGCCAGACGAACCACCTCCTCCCTATAAGCGGTCTCATCGTTGTCTTTGATGAGGCCGATCACCGTGGTGTCATCTGCAAACTTAATGATGGTATTGGAACCATCAACAGGTTTGCAGTCATGGGTGAAGAGGGAGTAGAGGAAGGGACTCATCACACAGCCGGTGTTAATAGTGATGATAGATGAGCAGTGGTTATCCAGCCGGACATGTTGGGGTCAGTTGGTCAGAAAGTCCAGTAACAAGTTGCCCATGAGGGAACTGATGCCCAAGTCTGTGAGTTTTGTGATGAGTTTTGAGGGGATGACTGTGTTGAATGCTGAACTAAAATCTATGAGCAGCATCTGGGCAAAGGTGTTTTTGTTGTCCAAGTGTGAGAGAACAGAGTGCAGCGCTATGGAGACTGCATCCTCTGTGCTCCTGTTCTGGCGGTATGCAAATTGGTGGGGGTCCAGGGTGGGGGGGAGACAGGATTTGAGGTGTACTAGGACCAGCTGCTCAAAACACTTTGTGATGATGGAGGTGAGGGCTACCGGACAGTAGTCGTTGAGTCTTGATGGTTTTGAGTTTTTGGGTATTGGGACGATGGAGGTGGTTTTGAAGCAGGTTGGTACCACAGCACGGGCCAAGGACAGGTTGAATATGTCCGTCACTACTCCTGCCAGCTCCACAGAACACGTCCAGGGATGCCATCAGGACCCGCAGCCTTGTGAACTTTAATCCTGCTCAGCGCCGCTCCTACGTCGGTGGGGAAAAGAGTCGGTGGTTGGTGGTCTGGAGACACATCTGCCTTAGTTGTAGTTGTTGGGTTCCCTCTCTCAAAACGAGCATAGAAATTGTTGAGCTCATTGAGGAAGGAAACGTCAGAGAAGACGGGGGAGGGGTTGATGGCCCTGTAATCTGTAATGATCTGGAGTCCTTGCCACATACGTCGGTGGTTGGAGTTTGAGAAGTGTTCTTCTATCCTCCCCTTGTAGTGGTGCTTGGCCTTTTTGATGCCCCTCTTCAGCTCAGCCCTGGCTGTACTGTAGGCCTGTGTATCCCCTGACCTGAAGGCGATGTTGTGGGCCTTCAGCAGTAGACGTACATGTCTACATGTAATGTATGTAGACATGTATGTCTACATGTAATGTATGTAGACACGTACATGTCTACATGTAATGTAATGTATGTAGACATGTACATGTAATGTAGAGGTGATCAAAATCTTTAATGAAAACTACGCTTACATTTTAACACTTGTCTAAAAACAAACCCCCTAGACTGTGTGTTTTTTGTTCTTATCATTGTTTTGACCTTCATATTTATTGTCACAGTCTGGGGAAATTGTTACACTGAAAAATCATAATTCTCCTTGTTCTTTTTTATTTATTATTTTTGTTTTGTTTTTCTCCCTCCAGTGATGTTGCAGTTGGTGTGAAGGTAATTATTCCTTATTATTAACTTCACTTTTGTACAGAACCATTATTTTTATATCTATAAATTAACACGCACATCTATCTATATAACAGTCTCATATATAGTCTCTTATTCATTCTTAAATTATTTATTGTTGTTTTTTTTTTCAATTCTAGAGAGGCTCAGACGAGCTCAACATGTACAGTAGCAGCCCCAGCTCAATGACCGGTGAGTTCAGTCAAACCTAAAATAGATTGTAACACTTTATTAACAGCTTCATAATTTATTGGCGCTCTGAAAGGATGTTAGGAAGTTTATTGTATTGTTTCCAGCAGTAGGAAATGTTCACGCTGAGGGTGTGGATTAGAGGATGACACAGGAGTGGATTTTCACTCCTGTCCTGTCCTGGTCCCACAGAAAAAATCCTGTCCTGTCCCACTTTTGGTAACATGACTCCTGCTCCTGTTCAGAATCACTCCCACTCCTGTCCTGCTCCTGTTTTTCATTAAATTTTTAGGAAATACATTGAATTTGATTTGATCTTCTACTCACTCCTGTTTAAATTACTTTGTGTTCTGTAGTTTTATTTCAAAAGATATGGAAACAGGAACAGTTCATCTGTGGTGAAATAGAGACATTTATTTCCTTAATCCAAACAAAAACCTTCACTAAATGTCACAAAACAAATAATACATGGCCTGTAGTCCATATAATTTTTCTACGGAGGATCAGCTGCTGAGTCCCTGTTTCCAGCTCTTTTGAAGGTCAGTTACAGTAAAAACAAAAAATCAAAACCAGTCCCATGTGTCACACCATGTCTACCTTAGATGAAAGAACACAAACATAAGTTGCATTTTACTCATTTATTGAACAATTGTTTCCTTTAAACTGTGACATTACTGTCATGTTTTAAATTGTTTAAATATCCATCCATCCATTTTCTTCCGCTTATCCGGGGTCGGGTCGCGGGGGTAGCAGCCTAAGTAGGGAGGCCCAGACTTCCCTCTCCCCAGCCACTTGGTCCAGCTCTTCCGGGGGAATCCCGAGGCGTTCCCAGGCCAGCCGAGAAATATAGTCCCTCCAGCGTGTCCTGGGTCTTCCTCTGGGCCTCCTTCCGGTGGGACGTGTCCGAAACACCTCACCAGGGAGGCGTCCAGAAGGCATCCTAAACAGATGCCCAAGCCACCTCAACTGGCTCCTCTCAACGTGGAGAAGCAGCGGCTCTACTCTGAGTCCCTCCCGGATGATCGAGCTTCTCACCCTATCTCTAAGGGAGAGCCCAGACACCCTGCGGAGAAAACTCATTTTGGCCGCTTGTATCCGAGATCTCGTTCTTTTGGTCACAACCCAAAGCTCGTGACCATAGACGAGGGTAGGAACGTAGATTGATCGGTAAATTGAGAGCTTCGCCTTTTGACTCAGCTCTCTCTTCACCACAACAGACCTGTACAGCGCCCGCTTCACTGCAGACGCTGCACATATCCGTCTATTGATCTCACGCTCCATTTTTCCCTCATTCGTGAACAAGAATTGTTTAAATAAACAAACAAAAAAAGAAAAATAATGTACCAAGCAGAGAACAAATAAAAATGTTTAAAGGCATTATTATACATTGGACGACGTCCTCAAGAAGTTCAGAGTTTATGTGGTCGAGATAACGAGCTCGTTTTGGTGAAGCATGATGTCGTGCATCTTACCAGACTTCAGAGCATCATTTACAGACTGGACCATTGCAGGTCTGGTGTTCCACCTCATCTCCACAGCTGGACCAGTCCAGAGCCTTGTGGAATCTAAAAGTGAAAGAAGACAGTGCACGAGTCAAAATAGGGTTACCGTGACTACAAATTACAATTTGTTGGCCTTTCTTCTGGAAAAAAATATTTTATTAAAAACAAGAGATTTACAATTGAAATTAGGTCAAGAAAATGTGACATTTGCAAATATAACTTACTGTAGCTCAATTTTTATTTATTTCACTTATCATATTTTATAATTATTTAAGCAGCCTCACCAGGCAGAGATTACAAGATTTTATGTATCTTACCTGCTCTGTTGAAGTGTGTGACAAGGGTCTTTGTGTCCAAAGATGTTTAACAGTTTGCTTCCAGAGCTAACAGCTTCCTGTGTTAGGTAAAAAAATTTAATTAAATTAAAGACAAAAAAGCTTAGTGCTACTTCTTGTGCCATGCTTTATAAAACAGTTGTTGAATAAAGTATTTACTTATGTAGGTAAACATAGATGTTTTAAAACCTGTTAAAATACACCAAAATGCAGGAAATAGCAGCTACTTTATTAAAAAAGTTATGGGGGAGGACCCACAGACCTCACACCAATATGTCCCCCCTACAATAACAGTTATTATAATGTATATGTAAGCAGCCTTTCATATAAAAACTGGGATATTTTTATCGGAGAATCAGAATAAACTTTATTATCATTGCACCGAGATACAACGCGAATATGTACGTACAGTCGTCCGAAGATGGGCGGCGTGCACGAAGCTGCGGCTATAAATAGTGTAGTGAACTAGGCCTGAAGGTCAAGTCCTGACCTTAAGGACCATATGGGACAGAAGCTGTCATTTCATTGATTTGAATCCAGAAATACAGGTTGACCCATCCTGAGACTTTCTTAAGTTAATCAAGTGAAAGAAGACTATTCTCTATTATCATTACTATTTTACAAATGTTTGATAATCAAATTGTGTTAGTTCAAACAATGTTTAAATGTTGAAGTGAACTACTCATTTTTATTAACTGTGAAACAGTAATAATGATTCTTAATCCTCATTCAAAGTGAAATCAAGTTGGAATATGTTACAGAGTAATGATTCAATTTCTTGATCGTCTGTTTGAAGTGAGCAAGTGTGTAAGTTGGTCAAAGTTCAAGTTTCGGTCAACTGCAAGTTTACTGAAAAAGAAATGTCATGTTTAACTTTTACAGCAAGATACTGGAGAAGTGACTCCATGAAGTCTGAATTCTTCATAACAATCTTTTGTCTGTTCTTAAACAATCTTAATCTTTTTCCTTGACTTTTCATAACACCTTACATCACAAAACACACCTCTGTTTTGGTCCATCGACCAATCAGAAAGTTCTCAAATGAACCGGAAGTGAGCTTTCTTTAAATGTTGGTACTTCCTAGTTCAATGCAGTCAGCTGATGATGGAGAGTTCTGCAAGAGGTTCCACCTCCAGTTGGAGTTGGAGGAGATGAAGAAGTTCTGCAGTTCTGAAACTCGCAGTTCCAGAGTTCATGAAGGCTGGAATTCAGGATGCTGCTGAAAGAAAATCAAACTGAACGAGAGAAGATCTGGGAATTATGAAATTTCTGTTCTGGATGATCTCACGACTCCCGAGGTTTAGCTGTTCTTACGGAGACGCTGAAAGAGTTGAAAGGAGAGCTCTACACCAACGCTGAAACCATCATCTGCAAAGGTAAAAGAGTTGATCTCAACCAAGCGTACCGTTGGGCCAAGCTGGAAAAGAAGGAGCGTGTATGTTTCTGGTTAAACAGACAAATTCCCTCACACATCTCTCTCAACTTAAACTTCATTTCCCATCTTTAAAATTCTTCTATCTGCTAAAAATCATTACAGATATTTTTAGAAATGTCTGAAGCAAAGTTTTTCAACCACCGCCGTGTGGTAATGCCTGTGGTACTACTGGAAGTGAGAACAATCGCTGTATTGTTTACTTCCTGTAAAACTGATTAATAAGCTGTTGTTATTTTCAATTCTTGCCAATTAATGTAAATGTGTGATGTGTTAAACTTGATTCTGTTAATAAATGACCCACTGTCGTTGGTGAGTCAAAGATAATTAACGTCTCACGTCCACATTTTATTAAATTCAGATGCACGTTATTATACAGTCCAGAAAAATGAAAGAATCCGTTTAATTTATGAATATATCAGCATATGTTCATTCTACAATAGTTAGCGCGGCCTTCTTATTCTTATTCAGAGTAATATTTTGCTTAGATGAGAAAAGGAAAGAAAACATGAGGAGAGACGGTATAAAAAAAAGATCTCTCACACCGTGTCCTAGACAGGGCACAATTTGAGGCATCAAAAAACTTACCACAGCAAAGCAACATAAACAGATGTTATACATGAACATATAGGCGGTGAAAACATTTAATTTTTAAGGGAAAGTCGTAGCATAGTCCAGAGCCCCCCCTCAGCCATTGTCCAGATAAGAAGTGACGTTCATCTTCAGCTCAATTGAGGTTCTGTTACATGTCCACGGCCTTGGGGAAGGGAGGGGTGAGGAAACAGTCAAAGCATCTTTGTTGTTTTCAAAACATTCCAGGAGGAGTTGAGATAAGTCCGGCATCAAGGCCACAGTTTGGGTCAGGCAGAACTCCTCGTGAATTGTTGTTTCTGCCTTTAAAGTCTCGCTGGTACATTTTCTCTGATGGAAACTCCAAAACAGCCGAATTGATCCTTTACTCCAAAAGTCGAGCTCACAGCTTCTCCAGATTATTCCACCATTCATGAGTGCTGCCAGGGAGAACACAGTCCTGATACAGCTGCTCCAATTCCCTGTCACAGCTCCACCTTCAGTCCAAGCACTGTCAAGCTTCAACACCTCCACACAAATTTGTAGACAACCAGATTTCACCAACTCAAACAGTAGAATCTAGTCGTCATCATGAATCCAATTTTTCCTCTAGAGGTCAGAGGGTCCTCCTTACCCTGACTCCTGTCGGGAGAAGTTGATCGATTTTGTTAAGAGACCAGTTGATCCTTCCAATTAAGAGGTATGCAGGAAAAAAAAGAGGCTTTTTTAAGGGTTCACAGGACAAAAGAGCGCAGCAGGGAAGTGGGTGGGGGGCAGAGGGAAAACACGTCTGGTTTCACCGTAGAATAGCAAGAAAAAAAAAATGCTTTCACTAACGAGTTTGTTGTTGTACTGGTATGGTTACAGCCGACAGTAACTATTTACACAATAAAGTGATGGTTATTCACATTTTTCCTCAATTTCAGTATCCAGCAGGACATCACAATATAAAAATAGGGATATTTTTACCGGAGAATGCGTGCACTTCAACCAGGTAGAGTTCGTTTTTTTTTTTTTTTTACATTACAAACAGCAACAGATAATGAAGATTTTAACCTAAAAACTCGCATAACAAAGCAGAGCATAATTTTTAAATTAAAAGGGACAAGGTGGAGAAAAATGCGCTGTTTGAGTCTGTTCATTTACTGACGGTAAACAAAGTCCGACTCCCCGCAGCTCCTCACTGCAGCTGAGATGTTTAAAGGAGCAAAGCACCAACACAACTCTCGTGAAGTTCAGGGTTATTTGACACTTTCCTGCCTGTTCTGTGAGTTTAATAGACAGACAGTTACTTCTTACCTTGCGTCACAAACTATTTTCAGTTACTCTGTACCGCTTCGCTGCTCCTGCCACCCTCTCGGTGAAAAGCTATGGTTGGAACAGTTGACTCCTGGGAAATGTAGTCCTTTTGACTTGTGTTAAAGTGAAGGCTTACTGAAAGAAATCTATAGCTGCACCCGTGTTGTTGTTTTTTTTTTGTTTGTTTGTTTCATTTTCATTTTTTGGTTGTTGGTCGGTTCTCGCTCCTGTCTGCTCCCGTTAGCTTTCATTCCGGTCACGTGAGTTATAATGAGGTTGACTCCGGTCCCGTCGGAATCCGGCCGGAATCACGTGACCCGCGGTACTCCCGAAAAAATGTCATCCTCTAGTGTGGACGATGCTTGTTACACACACAGATACCTGGTTGCCAGTTTGACAGCATTGGCGTAGTGTCCCTCACTTTCCACCAGCAGGTTACTGGATTCACTGAGGTTAGGGTTGATGCAGACTAGAGGATGACACTAGGGCTGGGCGATGTATCGAATATACTCGATGTATCTCGAGTTTTTCAATTTACGATGGTTAAAATGGCTCTATCGCAACCATCGAGTATAAATTGCCATTCAAATAATAAGCTTTCCGCATCAAATTCACTGTGAGTTTCGTTTATCCGACACGCAACGAATGCATCACTACTCCCTGCCCCCTCCCAACCTGAAAATGTTCCACATGACACGCTGTGCGGAGCATGCGCATATAGACTTGGATAAAGGAAAAAATATGGCGACTGCGGGAGATTCAGGTGAGCGGGTGAATGAGACGATAACTGAAGAGTCCAATGAATTAGTTCCGAAGAGAAACAGCACTGGATCAATAATCTGGCAGTGGTTTGGATTTTACAAGGATGTCGAACAAAATGCGGTAATTTGCAAAACGTGTCGTAAAACCATTGCCACGAAAGGAAGCAGTACCACAAATTTATTTCACCACCTAAGAAGTCATCCACTGCAAAATGAAGAATGTTGTAAACTCCGTATGTCCACGTCTCCCCACACATCAAAGAAAACGTTAAATGATACTGCTGTGAAGCAGATGACACTAGCTTCTTCGTTTGCCAAAGCCATCCCGTATGACAGAAAAAGTACAAAGTGGAGAGAGATCACTGACGCAGTAACAAAATTGATTTTACAATTTTTATGCAAAAAGCACTAACAAGCACCTTTTTTTTTTTTCAGACAACTGGTTTATTTTTCATTGTGGATTGGTGCTTGGTGTACTTTTTTTGCTTGTTTATCTTGTTTATTAAAGGTATAGTGTTGACCACAGTAAGAGACAGTGGTACTAATTTCATTACTGAAGAACATGATTTGTGTGCAACTGATGGTTACAATAAAACATTTTAAACTTATTCTGATTTTGTATTCAATTAAAAAAAAACATCAATGGTCTGTTTGAATAGAGTACACCAGTGCAATTTTAAATACTAGTTTAAAGTAACACTGGAGATTATTTATTAATATCGTGATATATATTGTGTATCGTGATATAGCAAAATAATATCGGGATATTAGATTTTCCTCATATCGCCCAGCCCTAGATGACACAGGAGTGGATTTTCACTCCTGTCCTGGTCCCACAGAAAAAAATCCTGTCCCACTCCTGGTAACATGACTCCTGTTCCCATTCAGATTGTCTCCCACTCTTGGACCGCTCCTGGTTTTTTTTTTTTTTTTTTTTTTGTTCTTCCATTTAGTCTTTAGGCAATACATTTAATTTGATTTGATCTTCTTCCCATTCCTTTTTATATTACTTTGTGTTTAACACATTACAGACTGGAGAATTGCAAGTCTGGTATTCCAGAGTGAAGGCTTTTAGAAAGAAAACTACAAAATAGCGGCACCTGTCCAAAGTTTATTTTATTTTATTTTTTGTCCTTTTTGTTGGTTCCCGCTCCTGTCTGGTCCTGTTAACTTTTTGTCCTGTCCCATCCCAGTCCTGTGAATTATAATAAAGTTCACTCCTGTCCTGCTGGAATCCTGTGACCTGCAGGAGTCCTGGAAAAATTTCATCCTTTATGGCAAACTTCTGTACCTCTGTGTCTCTTCCTGAATCTTCTCTGTGGTTCTCTGGGGTTTAGGGCTCTGATCATCTCCCTCATTGACATTAGAACACAAAACATCAACAATAACATGGTTGTTGTTATTGCTCACAAACCATTGTCTAGGCTGAGAGATAAAAGTTTAAATGGTCAACAATATAATTTACAATTTAACTTACCTCCACCATGCAGCCTCCACTGTAGATAAAGGCAGCAACCTTTTAACAACAAAGTTTATGACTGTCCTGTGGCCCCTACCTCACTTTTCTTTTATCTGTCCTCCTCACATCAGGGTCAGAGGCTCCTGTGAGGAGAACATTAACATAGACAGTGAACATTAGGTGAACTAAAAAGCAACAAAGTTCATGCTCAATCATCAAGGTATCAAATCCAATAATTCTCAGTTAGGTCATCTGGACAGTTTCTGTTTTTATAGAGACGTTAGGTGAGCTGTTTAATCAGCTGACCCGATGGATGAGCACATTTTTACAATCTAATCTTTATCTGTTACTGTCAATCTTTAGTTAGCTTCTGATTTAACTAGCTAGATAGCCATAAAATAAATCTCCACACTAATATTTTAAAGATAGTGTTACATGGATCCTAGTTTAACTCACCGTGATGCACGTAAAGTTAACAAACATAAACTTACCAGCTGAAATCCCAGACACAGCTCCGTCCTCGGTGCGAAGAGGAGTCCGGTCATGGAGATGTTGAATCAGGCTGTTCAGGCTCTGACATCCACAGGCTGATTTAAATGCTGAGAGGAGGAGGCTGCGGTCCTCTCTCCTTGCAGTCAAACACGGAGCAACTTTCCGCTCTTAAATTGATTCCGTGCACGGTCATGCACTTCATCAAATTAGTCGTGTTGCAGACACACGCAACTAGTTCACAACACAGATACACAAGTGGCTATTTGTGGCTATTAATGGATATAAGGCTTGCCATACATACATGTCTGTGGGCGTAACCAATGTGTGTCTTTCCTGCGTGTTGCAAGTTGCAGCACTGGCAATGGCTGCAACATTACATGTGGTTTCAGGTGTAACGTTACAGCCAATCACTGAAGCTTGACACCGAAAGACGAGGCATATTTTGATACATATGCTGACCGAAGCAGTTTGGTCGGTACCATAAAAGAACCGAAGTTTGGTACTCAGCTCTAGTCTCAGTCTAACTTTTCTTTAATAAATGCACTTTGACGGTCAAATCAGCTGCATTTTCAAAAGCCGATACGCAGAAATATGTATGCGCAGAGGGCAACTCGTGCATTTCTTTAAAATTTAACAAGATAAACACCAAAACACTATTTGTTTGCTTGAGAGTATAGTAAAGGTGTGTCTGTCTAACTTTTGCTTAATAAATGCTTCAGTGGTCAAATCAGCTTGATTTCGCCGGGACGGTGCAGTGAAATGAAGCTGATTTGATGGTTGCTCCAGAGGAGCTGGAAAAAGGTGGCAGACTATGGCAAGCCGATTGTGTCATTAATAGCCACTTTTACTTATTATTATTTATTACATGATACAACGGCATGCCGTACTACTCTGGTACCATCTATCTTCTGAAAATGGTAGTGTTCGATATTTTCAGTCAGAATGAATGAAAACGGTCACATCAGATATCTCAGCCAAAAACTGGTTTATAAATATGGGAAAAAACATAAATAAGTCGCTTCGGCGTATAAGTTTCAGGGCATGCAAATTATGCAACCAAAAAAAGGTGACTTATAGGTTAATAAATATGGTAGGCTTCAGAATGAAAGGTTTTATCTTCTCATAACATTTGGTCACTCCCCCAGCCTGTCCTGTATCATGTTTTCCTAACTTTAGGCTGGTTAGGTTGCTGTTGTAGTGTCATTTGTTGTAGCTGTATTTCTGGTGCGACTCTTCTCTGTGACAAGGCTGCAGCTGGAGACAGAAGTCCTTGATCTCTTCAGGTCAACACTAAGAACAAAAGGTTCATTTTAACCATAAACCATGGTTAAAATCAATTTATTTTTATTTTTAAACTACCCAACGCTTAAATCAGAGCAAAAGAATAACCACGTGTCATCTTTTTGTGCAAAATGTTGGTTTTGCTCTGTCTGCAGGGTGACGGCCTCATTTCAAAAGCAGCTGCTGATTACAGACAATATTTATTCATTTGTCACTCAAATTTCTTGTATTTATGTGCACCTTAGATCCAACTTGAGAAATGGTGTTCAATGATCATACTTTAATGTTTAATATTTGTGTGTCTGTGCAGCAAACGGTAGTGAAAGTAAGAAACAGCGACTCGATGAGCTGCCTCCCTCCAGAGTCCTGCACATCAGAAAACTTCCCAATGAAGTGACAGAGACTGAAGTCATCGCTCTGGGGCTGCCCTTTGGAAAGGTCACTAATATACTGATGTTGAAAGGGAAGAACCAGGTAAACACATAGCCAATAATCAATACAAGGCAGGAGCAGGCTTGTTAAACTTTACTAAAATAAACAGTCATGTCTAAATTTTAATATCTTTGAAGATATCTGTTAGTCTTCAAAACCTGAACATTACTGCTACTCTACTTTTCAGGCGTTTTTAGAGCTGGGTACAGAGGAAGCAGCCATCACTATGGTGAACTACTACACAGCTGTCACACCACAGGTCTGAACTTTGTGAGCATTTATTAATTTCACTTCATATTTGTATTTTCTCTTTATTTTTAAACACTGTGACTTTTTTTTTTTTTACTCTGTTAGATCAGAAATTCTCCTGTCTTCATCCAGTACTCTAATCACAAAGAACTGAAAACAGACTCTGCTCTGAACCAGGTATTCATGTGGATCAGTACTGGAAGCACGGTTTTGTTCATCGTAAGCCTTTGTTGAGAGTGATGGCTTTACTCAACCTTGTTTGTTTCCAGAGAGCCCAGGCGGTGCTACAAGCAGTATCAGCAGTCCAGGGCGGGAGCTCTCCCGCCTCTGACCAGGGCGTGTTAGAGCTTGCTCCACCTCCCAGTCCTGTCCTGCGAATTATTATTGACAACATGTTTTATCCTGTAACACTGGATGTTTTACAACAGGTAAGACCTGAGCATCTAATTCACTTCAGTTTATTTATAAAGCACCAAGTCACAACCACAGTCATCTCAGGACACTCATATACATAAAAGTAAGTTGATAACATTGTTTATCTGAGGAGCAGACTGCTCTGAGGCTAACTTGTTGCAGACTCTCAGAAAACCACCTGGTTCTTTTTTATAAACGTAAACATTAGGCAGCTTGACTATTTTTTATGTTTTGTCCTTAAAAGACTGACAGAGGTGAAACATATTGGTTATACAGTAGTCCCTCGTTTATTGCAGTGTTAGGTTCCACCCCCACCCTGCGCGATAAGTAGGAATAGTAGTACAAGAGAAGAGAAGCGCAGCAGGACAAAGGGTTAACCCTTCACGCAGCTCTGCAGCACGGAGCACAAATGTACTTCTTGATCAATTACACTGCAACAACTGAACATAGAAGTTCAAAAATTATTAAAAATAACTTTTAACACTTTTCTATTTTGTGATTATGATGATTTTTTTGGATGTGACACTTTGAATTTTAAGTAGGAAGACAAAAGTCGATCGGTGCATCTCTTCACAAAGCTGCAGCAGCAGGAGGGAGCTTCTCCCTGCACCTGTGGGCTGCACACAGGTGCAGCAGGTGCTAAATCATTAAAATTATTTTAAATAAACAATCCATTGTGCAGCTCATCCATCAATCAGCCAGTTGTGCGTCATGTCCAATCTTACCTTGGAAAACTGCAAAAGAGCAAGTCTGCAATAAACTGTGAAGTATCGAGGGACTACTGTACATAGTAACTACCAGCCTTATGGATTTTACTTTTCATAAACTGCTGGTGGTTACCGTGTTTTCCGCCGTACACGTCGCTCCGCCCTATAAGTCGCTCCGCCCTATAAGTCGCTCCGCCCTATAAGTCGCATCAGTCCATATTTGTCTAATAAAGTGGAAAAATCCATAAATACGTGGCTTGTCGCATCTATTACACGTCACCGCTGACAACCTGGAAATGTGGACCGGTGTTGTGCCAAAAACCTGCCAAATGGCGGCTGCAGAAGCATGCATGGGAGGACTTCACAAGAATTTAACAAGATTAACACTTAAAAACAATTATTTGTTTGCTGGAAGTTATAGTAAAGGTGTGTCTCAGTCTATTTGCTTAATAAATGCACTTTGATGGTCAAATCAGCTGCATTTCGCCGGGGTGGTGCAGCTGATTTGACAGTTCCAAGCAGAGAGCAGAATGAAGGTGGGGAGGCTGTGGCAGGCCCATTGAGTCATTCAAAGTTGGTGAAGATTCTCAAGTCATCCAGGACATGGTAAATTCAAAAAAGTTTAAGAAAAAGTATAAAGTATAATAAATAAAATCTTGAACTTTTTTGAATTTGTCATTATAGCCACATGATATGACAGCCAACAGCATGCCATACTGCTATTAATACTCTGCTGCCATCAAGTGGTTGAAAGTGGTACTGCTAAAAAATTCAGTCAGAATGAATGAAAACATATCTCAGCCAAAAAATGGTTTATAAATATGGGAAAAAATCCATAAATATGTTGCTTCGGCCTATAAGGCGCAGGGCATGTAAATTATGCAAAAAACTGCGACTTATAGGCCAAAAAATACGGTAATAATAAATTTGTGTCTGTGTAGGAATCTTAAAGATGTACTGTAATAAATAAATTTTTATCACTTTTATTTATTTTCAGATTTTTAGTAAGTTTGGGACTGTGATGAAGATCATAACCTTCACTAAGAACAACCAGTTTCAGGCTCTCCTGCAGTTCAGTGACCCCGTCAACGCTCAGCAAGCTAAACTGGTAGGATCAAACACAAATGAAAGCTTTGACTCATGAATAAGAAGCTTGTAAAAGTTTCAGCATGTATTCATGTTTACAGGATGAATACATGCTGCAATGCTTCATTGGTGACCATTAGTCTACTGGATTCCTGTCTCTGGCTGATTGATCCTTTGTTAAAATCCCATCCAATCAGCTGTAATGTTGGTGACATAACATCCCACGTGACACGTAAACAAAAGTTTATTTTGTTTTTTCAACTGGACATAAATAATTCATGACGAGTGTCAGATTCTGGCTTGTGGCCCTTTTTGGACTGTGCTGCTCACTTTTTAGTGAAAAGACGTATCTGCACAGAACCAAATGAATCAGCCCTGCAGACTTTCTGTCTCTAAACCAATGTACAACTCAAGTTCATGTAGAAAAGTTTGCAATCTGCAGCACATTTTAAGCTGTTTTTATTTACCTTTTTTGACCCCAAAAAACAACCCACTTACTGGTATTGGCAATTTCTGATTTTTATTGGTTTATTTAAAATATCTGGTTTTCAGTTATTTTACAAAACATGTTTTTTATTTTTGTCCTAAAACATTTTGTTTTTGGGTAGCACAGTGGCTTAGTGGTTAGCACTGTTGCCTCAGAGTAAGAAGGCTCTGTGTTCGATCCCCAGCTTGGACCGGGGGTCTTTCTGTGTGCAGTTGACATGTTCTCTCTGTGCATGAGTGGGTTTTCTCCAGGTGCTCTGGTTTCCTCCCACAGACCAAAAACATGCATGTTAGGCCTCCCTCGCACAAGAGATCTGTGATCTCAAGGGGGTTTGCCTGGTAAAAGTAAAAGTCTGTTAACTAATAACTTTTTTGTTTCTTCTGCTCTAGTCTTTGGATGGACAGAACATCTATAATTCCTGCTGCACTCTGCGGATCGACTTCAGTAAACTGGTCAACCTCAATGTCAAATACAACAACGATAAGAGTCGCGATTACACCAGACCTGACCTCCCTACAGGAGACGGAGAGTCAACCAACAAGGATCACTCTTTACTGGGTAAACATCCCCCTGACTTTATCTGCTTACACATCTTTCATTCTTTTGTTCCTCCAGGGCAATCCTTTGGTCTTTGTTGTCACAGAAATCACTTCAGACCCCTCGTCATGCCTCAGTTGGACAAACGCATCATCATCCTTTGCATTTAACTCTTCCCATGTACTTTTGTTTGAAAGTTGAGCAGACTAAATCCCAACTCTTAACTGAACTGGTGCTCTTTGCTGCTCTGCAGTGTTTGACATGAACTGGCCCCGACCAGTTTCACTGGATGCTACCATCTACTTGTACTCTACATTATTATGTTCCATTATAATGACGTTGTGTTGTGCACATCTGCATTTTTAAGGCATTAAAGGGTTTTTATGGTGATGTTCTAACGAGTTTGCACTAATTTATGGGTAGATATTCCTCTGTTCTTAGTCAGTTTAAAGACAATGTGCAAATGTAGGTAAAATATCCTGATGCATGCTCAATAATCCAGGTAGAAAACTCTAAAAAAGTTAAATCTGGTCCTAAAATAAGTAAAATACAGGTACATTTTTATTTTGTATTTGAGTAACTTTTACTTTATTTATTTGTTTATTAGAGTGTTTCCATAATCAGTTCGAATAAATTAAATCAAAAACTGCATGAATTGGATAAATCAATATTAAAACTTTCTAACCAAACTTCACTTTTATGAGGAGGGGGCTGTTGTGTGTAAATCATCTCATAAAGGAACAGCTGTGTCTGCAAGCTATCAGCATTCATACAGACATGTTGACTTCTAATGTCCTCTCAGTGTTAACATCTCGTCTGATTTATGGTGCAGACGGCTGTTCTGGACAGTTTGTGTCTAAATGTCCAGTTTGTTGGACCTACAGTATCTTATCGGTCTACAATTACCTGCCTTATAACGAGAACCTTTATATCCCAAGTAGACATGACAAAGTGCGCTGGTAAAGTAAACCTGATGTTGATTAAAAAAAAAAACAAGGTAAACCAGCTGTTGCTCGTGTAATCCACAAATTCTGCTTTGCAACACCAACCACGTTTGTAACACGTTTCACATGTTGCTGCACTAGTTAAGAATAGTTCAAGAATCTTTATTATTCCCAAGGGGGCGATTGTTTCACAGTCGGGCACAAAACAATCGTTACTGCTCTCTGAGAAGTCTGATCGCTACAGGGATGAACAAGTTTTTCAGTCTGTTTGTCGGACTACACCTGGGCAGCAGATACCTGGACTCACCATGGAGTGGGTGATCAGGATCTGCCAGAATAACCTGCGTGTGTTATGCACTGTACCTGCAGTAGTTTGGAAACGTATACGCAGGTGTGTTTTAGGATTATTTGTTCTGGTTGGCTCCAGTCTAAATGTGTTTGTATCGTGCGGCAGTAGTAGTGCAATGACTGAACGAAGATCTCTGCAGCACCTGACCTGAATCTGATGATCTAAATTATTATTCACCTTCTCCTGTTCAGAGGATTCTGTTGAGTTTGCTCATTTATCTGTTTCTGCTGCTCATGTTCGTGATGATCAATCGTGATTCAATTTATTTTAAGATTTAACAGTACAGTTTGTTTTTTGTTCTGATCTAATACAGAGAGACTACATTTACACACAACAGCATCAGTAAAACCACTGACTGCTCGTATATGATGACATTAAACTACAGGTGGACAGCTGAATGCTATTATTTTAGAATTATATTAAAATTTAACTTTGCCTCCTTGTATCACTAAAATACTGGTAAACTTTTTTTAAGTTGTGTCTCAGGGATCTCATTATAATCCATTTTTTGTTTTGTATCATTATCGTTATGGTTAAATTTAGTAGTGGTTTTCAAACAAATGGTGCAAAACATGGGAGCGCTTGAAACTTTTGTGTTTGAAAGATGAGTAGATTTTCAAACGATTGAAATCCAAACATATTAATATTGTTTTTGTCTGTAACAGTTGTTTTATCTGTCTGCTGTCATGCAACAACTTAAAATTTGTATCATTAAAGCAGCTGGGAGCAGCACATTTAGTCAGACTTGTTTTTGATTTATTTTCTGGTCCCTTGTATTCATGTGTATTTACAGTGTGTGTAATATTGGGACGTGTTTATTTGACACATTAACTTGGCCTCCTACTGTGAGGCTGACTTGGTTTTTGTGTTCTTTGGTGCCAGGTTAGATGAAGTGACTTGTGGAATAAATGTAGTTGTCATTGTCTTGTAGGTACCCCGTCTGGAGCTCTAGCTTCCTACTCTAGTGGCGGAGGTTACTCATCTCTCTCCCTCTCGCAGGGTGGAGGTACCTATACTTTTTCCATTTTGTTTTTCCATCAGTGTCTCTGTTATTTTGTGTCCTGTCATTTACCATGTCCTACCTGAGTTGTCTTTAAGCTCTTTCTCACCAGCATCCTCAGTTAAAAATCTAACAGAATTAATAGAAACAGTCCTTTTATTTATTTCCTCCCAACTGGAAGTTAATAAATTATTTGTAAAAAGCAAAATCAAAAAAATCCTAAGAGGTCATAAAGAGTCCTGGATGTAAAAAAAAAAAAAAAAAAAGCTTTAATCTGAATTAGGACAATTTTTGGTGGGGAACAAAGATCAGGGATTATTAGTGGATAATAATTAAACTAATTTGGTGTTTAATGAAGCTCTATTTTTGCTTTACTGATTTTTTTTTTGTATTTTCTAATTTAAAGCGTTGTGTGAGGAGTTCAACAACATTGTGAATTTAATTAAATGTATGTAAATATATTAGGACCTCATCTTTTTACTCCACTATTCAAGGCCCTGGATTGTACAAATAAAGCTCAGTATAATATTCTAAGGGAAAACAACATTCATATGTTTAATTTTAACAAGTTTTATTATATTATTTGCAGTTTTTATATATTTTTTTGCCCGTTCTTTTTTCCCCATGTCTTTTACATCACTTTTATTCCACCTTTATTTTGGAGCTCATCAGCTTTCCAGCCTAAAAAGAGATTTGGATTATTGTCATCAAAAGACAAACTTTGTTTTCCATCCACTGTGGACAAGCTGTTCAGCAGAGCAGAGCGTGTTTAAACTGGAAATGTTTTTATTATTACCTCTTGTGAATCAGTCATGACAAACGTTTCTGCACTCATTTACAGCAGATGTTTGTCTTCGTTGTGGCTCGTTTTGTCTGCAGGTTTGACTCTGACTCGGTTTTGTTCTTCTTTTCTTCTGCTGGTAGGAGCCATCAGTCCTCTGAGCGCTGCGGCGGCGGCGGCAGCAGCCGCAGGTCGAGTTGCTCTGTCCGGGTCCGGCGTGTCGGGGGTCCTCTTGGCGTCCAACCTAAATGAAGAGGTAAAGTCACCACAAAGAAAACTAAAGTTTTCACTTTTAACGACTCGGCACTATAATCCTTGTGTGTGTGTGCGTTATTCAAATTACAGTGTTTGATATGGATTCTATTTATTATATAAATCTTCCACCTAGTTAAAAGTTTAATATTATCTATTAGTTTCGATTGGAATCACAAGATGGGTATCAGTCATAACTAACCATCTTTGTTTTGAAGTAATAAAAAGCTTTTAAAGCTAATTTTATTCTAAATAGATCATTATAAATGCATAATATAATTCAGCAACTTACTGACATATCTCATTTAAAGTGGATACTTTTGTTGTGAAAAATACCACAAAAGATTAAACAAAATAAAGTATTTTTCCCTGCACATGACAGCTTGTGGATGAACCTGTGCATGTGTTGTAGGTGTGCTGCTGTGGTTGATTTATTTGTTTTTTAAATATAATTTTCCTGTTCTTGACTTGTCCTAAACTCTGATGTCCTTTCAGCTAGTTTGTTTCTTTGGATCTGATTCCAAAACGTTTGAAGCCGTGTCATTTTTTTGTTCTGACAGCTCGAATGTATTTGTTTTTTATCTCTTTGAATCAGTCAGTGTTTCATTTCTTGCTGTAAATGTGTACGTGCTCGATCATCTGTAACTACAGCGTCAGTTGTCTTTTCTTGTCTTCATCTTTTCTCTTTCTGTCTGTCCGTCTCTCAAGAGAAGAAAATGTTTCGGTGTGCGATTTGTGTACTGGTTGTTTCGCAGCGCCTCGGTTTTTGTTTTATCTTGTGATCAGTTAGTTTGGGATCAGCAGATATTTGGGAGCAGTGCTGAGCCGGGACACGCTGCAACAAACAAGTTTGTTTTCAGCTGAAGACAATCGAGCAAACGTTGTTCTTGCTCTTGTGGGACTGACTTGATGTGAAGTTTGTGAATTTCATGTTTTCTAGCATCAACAACGAGCTTTTCACCAATAGCCACTGCCAACGATAGTTCAAATCCTTTAACCTTATTCACATTTCAAACTATTGTTTCTGATTCTACGTAAGATTTCTCTAACCGTGCCTGTAGTTTAAAGAAAAGCATGAACAGCCAGTCAGAAATGTCAGCCGGTGACTCAGAACAAGAAGTTCTTGTCAGAGGTTCTGCAGAACTTTAGACTGATTAGAGATCCCCCGTTTTACTGCACAATGTTGCAAAATATATAATTTACTCCAGAACTGTTTTTCATCTTCACCTGTTGACTGAGATGCACACCAGCCTCAATGATGTACAAGATAAATGCAGAAAATAGTTGAACAGGTCATGCATTGGGTGTGGCTTTGAGTTTTAAACTTTAAAGATTTAATTTACAGTTGAAATCAGATTCAGTACGTGCACTGTACAAAAAGACACACAACCTTCTTTCCCCACGGTCTTACTCGACGTCTGAATATCACAGTTCATGCTCAGTAATCCTGGTAAAAAGCTCATGTTTTGAACCATTTTAACCATTTTAACCATTGGCAGCACGACGGCTCAGTGGTTAGCGCTGTTGCCTCACAAGAAGGTCCTCCTGGGTTCAATCCCCGCTTGGACCTGGGGTCTTTCTGTGTGCAGTTTGCGTGTTCTTCTCGTGCATGCGTGGGTTTTCTCCGGGTACTCCAGTTTCCTCCCACAGACTAAAAACATGCATGTTTTTCCACTATGGGAGTGTGCTGCTTGTGGAGGACTGAGTTTGTTGTGGCTCCTCGCATTGATGAACGAAACATCTCAACAAAAAGAACCCGTCCAGATCAATGTCTGAATGTTTTTATTCCATTATTTTCTCTCAAATCATTTTCGACACTGGTTTAGTACTTGGTGAACTGTATGACTGGTCGGGTGTTTCGAGTTTCCTTCATGAACTTCTCACAGTAGTTTGCTGGAATTTGGTCCCGTTCTTCCTGACAGAGCTGGTGGAACTGGGTCAGGTTTGTTTTGACCACTGAACATGTGTCCAAAGATATTGGTCGTTGTCCCTGTGCGTTTGCAAACTGTAATCTGGCCTTTCATGTAGCATGGAGTAATGGCTTCTCCCTCGCTGAGTGGCCTTTCAGCTCGTTTCTCTGGATAATGACGCTCGTTTCAGCTTCACCAGAGAAAAAATGGTTATGCGTCTTTTCACACGGCGTATGTAAACATCTGGTTTCAGCTGTATTGTGAAATGAGGGCTGAGTTTGCTCGGCTGAGGTGTGAACTTGCACAGCACTGTTCAGTAGTACACGAGACAGTCCAGGTGTTAGACGGTGGTCGAGCGATGTGGCCGTGTCTCATGTTTGAGTGATGAATCATTTCACATGATCCTCTTCTTTCTGTGCCATCAAGTAAAAACACTAAGATGAAAGATTTTACCATCTATATGTTGCACACATGCGTGTCCTGTTTTTACACTGCTTAAAAAAACCAGCAATCCTGCAAACATGGAGTCCTCAAGAAGACGTGAAGTGTCAGGTTTGTTAGTAGTAGCTGAAGATTAGCAGCAGCAGAATGTTTTCATGTTTGTGCGTCTTTTGGGTGTTGCTGTTTGTCAATGGTCTGTTCTCAGTCAGTCCAGTTTAATTCATCATCACAGGGAACAACATTTATATCACTAGTTTTAGGTCTTTAATAAATGTATTTACTGAGCATTTAACTAAATGTTTGCATTATAAAATAATGCAGAACTTGTAGCATTGAACTGTCATTTTAATTTTGGTTTATATGAATCTTATTATAAATTTTACTTTCTTCTAATCTGAATTTCAAAGCCATTTATTTCTGCTGAAGTTGAACTGTTCATAGTTCCCCATCAGTCCAGTCAGCTGATACCTCCTGCTGTCACTTCGGGGTACTGCTCCTTTTTATTTCAAAGATCATGTTTTATTCTCTGAATTGTTTTGTTACTTCCTGCCATCCCTTCTCCTCACGGTTAAATGCATCCAGCGGAGTGTGTGCTACTGGAATAACTGTGTGACTTGGTATTTTTATTTTGCGTGTGTGCTTTTAGGCTCGACCAGCAATCATTCAGACTCCGTTGATGTTCCACTGATGCTCTGTTTACTGACCTCTGCTTTGGTTTTTGTCCTCCTCTTCTCCTTTCTCCCCTCCCCGCCTCCTATCTTCCCTCTTATGCTCCTTCCATTAAACTTTTTTTTTTCTTTCCACTCGACCCTTTCTTATTCCTACATATTTTTTAATGCAACATTCCTCTCCTAAACTCCCCCCATGTATCTTTACCTCCAATTTATATACTTTTTAAAAAAAATCATTTATTTTCTTTGTTTCTTTTAATTTCTGAATCTGATGTAAATCTGTTTTTTGGCTTTACTGTTTTTAAACCCTGCTCTCCCACACCTCCCCCACTATCTTTGCTTCACCCCTCATCATCATGGAAACCACCATCTCCCCCCTCGTCCAACGTGGGGCGATCTGATCTCTACCTTCGTCTCTCCTCTTCCTCCTCTGCTCCTCCTCTTCCTGTCCTCTGCTCTGCGGTCTCTCTCTCTAAAGATGGTCACGCCTCAAAGTCTCTTTACCCTCTTCGGTATGTTCAACCTCTACTATTCTATCTGTATTCTCTCTGTTAATCCAGTTTTGTTCACTTTCTTCAGTGATGTGGTGGGCACTCTGCTCGTCTATCTGCCTGTTGTTCTAGCTCTTCTCTATTGTACTGTACATTGCAGACTTCAGATTTACTTCTGTCCTTGCATTAAAAGAGCAGTGAGTCTGGATCATCCTTTGGTCAACTTGGTTCTTCATGGATGAGAACAAAGACGCTAAGATCAGTCGTTTGCAAAACTTTAGGCCAACACATACAAACTTCAACTGGTTCGGAATCGGTAATAAATTTTACCTAAATTGTAGATGGATCATATCACCTGCACTAAAATATATTTAATCTTGTCCAACCATCACTAAGCAGTCAGGACGGCTCGTATTATTCCCATTACAATGAAAGTACATCAGGGAAGAGATTATTTTATTTCCACACATTGAGCATGTTTCAGTGTTAGCATGAGCACACGACTCATTAATGTATAAATGATCAGTAAACATGGTAAATAATGGACATATTATCCATAATCTCAGGACCAATGGATGTACAAAACTGAACACCAGATAAATTGTAACACTATAAAAAAAATACATATCAGAGCAGAATGCAATCATTTGCTAATCTCCTAAATCCATATTTAATTTGCATTGGAACATGGTAAACTCGTTTAAACAAGTAAAGTTGTATTTTTTTTAGGAAAATTGTGTATTTTATTTTTATGGAAGCAACACTTCTAAAGTAAAAGGTGTGTGAGTGTGGGGGGGGACAGGGTCATGTTGCGAAGCGTTCCCTCTTCTCCTTTCTCGTCTTATGAACGTCTGAACGGAGGAGAGCAGCTGCTGGAGTGTTTGGAGGGGAATGTGGACCCAGTCCTTTCTTCGTTTTGTTCATGGTGTAACAGATGTTTTGAGCTGGTCAGGGGTGTGAACTTCAAGCAGGCCAGTTCAGCACCTGGACTCTTCTACTATGAAGCCCTGCTCTTGTAAAGGATGGAGTTTAATGTTGAGCATCGTCTTGCTGAAATATGCAAGTTCTAACCTGAAAAGGACTGGATTGGAGCAAATGTTCTTAAACCTGAATATACATTTCCAGATGTGTGAACTAGGGATGCACAATATTATCGGCATGGTATCGGTATCGGCCTATATTAGCGATAAAGTTAAATATCGGACATCGTCCATTCCATCAAAATAACTCATCGATATAAAAGGTGCTGTTTTGTGTATGACAACCCAGTGACAAGGATGTGTGCAGCGCCTGCACAATGTTATGACGTCATGCGCGCCTATGTCATGAATAACTTTGACACTAAACATAATCCAAGATGAAGTGTTGCATCATTTTCACCCCCTTATTGTCATCTGCATCTGGTAGCAGGCCAAACTGACAAAGACCGTGCAGAATGATGTAGTGTTTTAATTCCACAGCAGAGAAAGCGATGTAGTCTCTGTAAGTAGGTCCAGGGGAAAAATATTTGTATCGGTTATCGGCCAAAAATCCAGTATCGTGCATCCCTAGTGTAAACTACTCATAACATTAGCAAGGCAGGCTTAAACTATGCAGGCCAGATGGTCCCAGTACAGAGAATGTGGCACCCATTGTTTAAAAATAATAATAATAATTTTGATTTGTTTGAGAAGAAAACCGTTTTTCATTTTGCCTCAGTCTGTTTTAAACTGATTTTGCCCCAGAGACGATGACTGTTTCTGGAAGGTGTTCACATATGGCTTCTTCTTTGTATGATAGAGCTTTAACCAGCATTGGTGGATGGTGCAGTGGTTTGTGTTTACAGACCAGTTTTGCTGAGTCCATGCAGTGATGTCCAGAACAGAATCAGACCTGTTTTCTAATGCAGCGCTGCTGGAGGTCCTGAACATCACTGGTATCCATTAGACTTTCAGCCTTGTCCTCTGAGCTCAGTTTACGCCCATTTCTTTCACTGGACTGGTCAAATTCTTGTTTATTTGATAAATGATCCTCCAGTTGTTTACTTCACTCACCCTTACAGCTTTTTGTTTCCCCTGTCCCTACTTTTTGAAAATGTGTTGCTGCCATCAAAAATAAATTTAACGTTCTTTCTATATAAAAGTAAAATTTCAAAAGTTAAACATTTGACTTGCTTACTTTGGTCCGTTATGAATACAATATGGGTTTATGAGATTTGCATTGTATTCTGTTTTAATTAACATTTTAAACAATGAGTAAGAACACTGATCACAGCTGTGGAAACATCTGCAGTCCAAGAGCTTGAACATGTGGAGCCACAGCAGAGAGTTTGCAGTCCGTGTAATTTGTAGCACATGAGCTGTGTGAGGTTCATGCCCTGACGGGCCTGAGTGTTTGTGTGGCACAAACATGAACTTATTCAGTGTTCTACAAGTGACCGAGTTGATGTGTGCAGATACAAACATTATGAATAAATGCTGAATATATGCTGTGTGGATTCTGTAAATGTATAGCTTAATCTGAGTTTACATAATCAACAAGGGGCCCAACTCCTCCTGCAGCTGCTTCACTCTAAAAAAACAAACATTTAGGTTTAAATTGTTAAAGGGAGAAAAAGTCTGATAGAATTGTTTTTGCCTCCAATTCCTACACGTGTCCAGTTTCACTACTTTTTGTTTGTCCAAACAGGTCTCACTTGTAAATGAGTCTTCCAGGCTCAATGTGACTTGTCTGTCTAAATAAAGGTTGAATGAAAATAAAATCCCCTGAAACATCTGTTTGTATTGGAGCCACAGTGAGACGACGCAAAACAAGGACATCGTACTAAAAACAGTTTATTTCCAACACTACAATCCAGAAAGGGTTTTGTTGATGTGTTTTTACTGCGGCAGTGTTTTTAAACGTGACCAGGTTATTCAGCGTTTGTGTTCTCATCATATTAAAGGTGAAGTTGACCACAAGAATCCAGTGCTCTCACTCAGACTTATTCTAGCTCCTCTTTCTGTCCTGCCCTCTTCTCTAGTTCTCTATCCAGTTGTTCTAGTTCTAGCACATCTTTGTTTCTTTTTCTAAAACCTTGCAGTTTGGATTTCCTGCCTCCCAGTCATCTAAACTGGAATTTTAGTAAATATATTCTCTAAGTCCAAAACAATCCTTACAAATAACATAAAGAAACCGAGTTGTTTTATTTCTTTCATTTTCTGCTTTACATGTGTCTATATGCAGCATGTTGTCAGATTAGTGTGTCTGGTTCAGTAGAAGTGTTTTATTTCCTGCACTGTTACATTTTATTCACCTAATCAAACTGAATCCTGCACTTTTGTCAGACATTAACCTGCCAGTCACTTTGTGTCAGAGCTAAAGCTCAGCTGCAGTTTCACAATAAATGACTCAGTTATACAAAAAGCCTTTGAGATGATAGAAGTCAAATGGGAAGAGTCCATCTTTTCTTTCATTGGTCTTTCTAGCACTAACTTTATTCCTTTCATCCTTCACACCTCTTCTTTTTTATCTTCGTCGGCTCCATCTCTCCTGCTCTGTCTCTTCTACTCCTCCACCCTGCTCTCTCTGTCTGTCTCTCTCTTTCTGTCTGTCTCTTTCTCCCTGCAGGAGTGTACGGTGATGTCCAGAGGGTGAAGATCCTCTACAACAAAAAAGACAGTGCTTTGATCCAACTGTCTGACGGCAACCAGGCTCAGCTCGGTGAGTCCAATTATCACTTTAATTATTAACATGACAAGTAATTATTCAGTTCATGCCTAGAGTCAATGTTTGATATCTATCTATCTGTCTATCTATATATATCATTCATTACACGCAGACTGATATATTTCAAATGTTTATTTCTTTTAATGTTGATTATAACCAACAACTAATGAAAACTCCAAATTCAGTATCTCGGAAAATTAGAATATTGTGAAAAAGTTCAATATTGAAGACAATTGGTGCCACACTCTAATCATCTAATTAACTCAAAACGCCTGCAAAGGCCTTTAAATGGTCTGTCTTGTTCTGTAGGTTACACAATCATGGGTCAGACTGCTGACTTGACAGTTGTCCAAAAGACGACCATTGACACCTTGCACGAGGACTGCAAGACACAAAAGGTCATTGCTAAAGAGGCTGGCTGTTCACAGAGCTCTGTGTCCAAGCACATTAATAGAGAGGTGAAGGGAAGGAAACAATGTGGTAGAAAAAAGTATACAAGCAACAAAGATAACTGCACCCTGGAGAGGATTGTGAAACAAAACCCATTCCAAAATGTGGGGGAGATTCACAAAGAGTGGACTGCAGCTGGAGCCAGTGCTTCAAGAACCACCACGTACAGAAGTATGCAAGACAAGGGTTTCAGCTGTTGCATTCCTTGTGTCAAGCCACTTTGAACAAGAGACAGTGTCAGAATCATCTCGCCTGGGACTGCTGCTGAGAGGTCCAAAGTTATGTTCTCTGATGAAAGTAAATGTTGCATTTCCTTTGAAAATCAAGTTCCCAGAGTCTGGAGGAAGAGAGGAGAGGTACAGAATCCATGTTGCTTGAGGTCAAGTGTCAAGTTTCCACAGTCGGTGATGGTTTGGGGTGTCATGCCATCTGCTGGTGTTGATCCTCTTTGTTTTCTGAGATCCAAGGTCAACACAGCCGTCTACCAGGAAGTTTTAGAGACTTCATGCTTCCTGCTGCTGACCAACTTTATGGAGATGCAGTTTCATTTTCCAACAGGCTGTGGTAGCTCGGTGTCTGTGGTTGCGTCAGGAAGGGCATCCGGTGTAAAAATAACTGCCAAGTCTTGGTGCGACTTAATTCGCTGTGGCGACCCCTAACGCAGGGAGCAGCTGAAAGAAGAAGAAAAAAAAACTTTGAATGGAATTACTGAAATAAAACTTTCATGATATTCTAATTTTATGACCAGCACCTGTACATATACACACACACTTTTTTTTTTGGCTCAGCATAGACTTGCTTATGTTTTTGTGGGGTGACTTTACATCTTTAAGGCAAATATCGTTCTTCTTTCGGCTGCTCCCTTCTTCAGGGATCACCACAGCGAACTAACTCGCACGAAGACTTGGCAATTGTTTTTACGTTTGATGCCCTTCCAAACGCAACCACAGACCACTGAGCTAAAACAGCCCTCTGTGTGGCGCAGAAAGCTGCCATCTAGGGCACTCGGGGGAGTAGATGGTGTGGGTTAAGGGCCTTGCTCAATGGCCCATGGTAGGGCAATGAGGGTGGAGGCAGGTGTGGGTGCTTCACCTTTCCCACCCACATTTTGACGTATCTGTCTGGGGAGTTGAATCGGTGCCCTTCCGATCACAGGCTTGCCTTCTCTAACCTCTGCGCCACCACACCCCTGCAGATAGAATTAAACATGTATATTTAGTTCCTGTTCATCAGAACAAAAGTGCATGTGTTTTTCCTCACCTCTGCTGATCAGCTGCAGCCCCACTGTTTACATGAAACATTTTGCTAGAGGCTTTGTACTAACACTTATGTTTTACCTCTACGTTAGATTTATTGTTCTGGATAAAGTTTTACACGGTAATAGGCTTTACTAAACATTAGCTTGCTAACTTGAGAGGAACATAGCTAATGAATGACAAGCGAGTTAAAGGATTGAAGAATTCATTGTTGATTTATTTTTTTATTTTACAGATCAGTTAAAATAATCTTACCATGCTCTGTTCAGTGAAGTACACTGCACAGTATTGCTTCCTGCTTTGGCTGTGCTGAAAGTGAAAGTGAACTGCCATGACTTGAAAGTAGTTTTCATACGCCCTCTGCTGGATACATTGTACCATTACAGCTTGTTCTCTGCATTTTGGTGCGAACATTAGAAGTGTTTATACACTCTCCCCCCCCCCCCCCCCCAAAAAAAAAAATAAATAAATAAATAAAGTCACCACCTGGATTTAATTAAGCAAATTTGTACGAGCCTCCTAATGGATAATTACTGCACGGATGATTATCTTTCAGCTGCCAACAAGTTATTTAACTCCAACTGGTGCAATGAGTTGCATCTCGTTTCTTAAACCACCATGTTGTAAGACACATCGCGTGGTCGTGGAAAAGATGTCAGTGTGTTTGAAGAGGGTCAAATCATTGGCATCAAGCAGAGAAAACATCTAAGGAGATTGAAGAAACTACTGGGGGGAGTGGTGGCGCAGAGGTTAGAGAGGTGGGCCTGTGATCCGAAGATCGCCGGTTCACGCTCCGGCCCCGACAACATCAAAATTGTGGGTGGGGTAGGTGAAACACCCACACTTGCCCCCACCCTCATTCGCCCCACCCTGGGCCCATGAGCAAGGCCCTTAACCCCCACCATGTGCTCCCTAAAACAGGTCTCTCTTGAAAATGAGTTCTCGTGGCTCAACGAGACTAACCTGGATAAATAAAGGCTAAATGAAAAAAAAAAAAAAAGAAACTACTAAAACTGGGTTAAGAACTGTCCAACACATTATTACAAACTGGAAGGATAGTGGGGACCCATCGTCTTCGAGGAAGAAATGTGACTGGAAAAAAATCCTGAATGATCGTGATCGGTGATCATTTAAACGTTTGGTGAAATCAAGTAGAAGAAAAACAACAGTAGCACTCAGAATCTCAGAAAGACGCATTGGTCAGAATCTGACATCATCAATGAAAGATCTTGGTGAAAAATTAATGCAACACTGGATGGAAATAGATCTTTTGACATTGTAGAAGTTTATTGAAACAATACCACAGTGAATGCATGATGTAATCAAAGACAAAGAAGGTCCAATGAAATATTAGTGTGTGACTACTGTTTTGGCCAGGCAGTGTATCTGTGCATAATGGGACAATTATCACCAATACCAACAGGTCCCCAAACGTCTTTATCAGCCTATAATATCGGCCCTACTGATATATTGGTCGGGCTCTAGTTCGTTCCACCTATGTAACTTTTTTTATATTATAATACTCATTGTGTAAAAAGCCTTAAACATTTTATGAAACAAATATGTACACCTAATCTGGATTTACAAGTCTCTACTTAAATAGTGTAGCTGCTATAAAAAAAACTTTAAATCACCTTTATTTATTGTTTCTGTAAATATACCATTTCGTTTTTCTTTAACCCATACATATAAAAACATAGTATTTTTAGCTTTATCGTTTTAGCTTCTAATGTAATTTTTTGTCACTAAAAAGGTTAGTCCAGCCTTTCTTTGTACTGCTAATTTTTAATCTAACGTTGTTTTAAAAAGTACTTTAACATGTATTCCTCACTCGGTACATTTGTATCAGCCGATAATGATGATGTCTGTAGATAAAGTAAAATTATCAGCCTCAGGTTTGTTTCTTTACTTTCTGCTCTTTTTACCTGCAGCCATGAGTCACCTGAACGGCCAGAAGGTGTTTGGCAAAGTGATGAGAGTGACTCTGTCCAAACATCAAACTGTGGCTTTGCCAAGAGAAGGGCTGGATGATCAACTGCTAACCAAAGGTGAGCGCTCACCTGAAACCTGTTGCTTTCTTTTCAAGCCTATTTTAGAACTAAATTCCCGTCACGTGGATATGAAACGTTCACAAGCGAAGTCCAAGATGGAAATGGGAAATTAATTCTGGAATTATTTTTTAGCCTGAGTCAGTGTGCATGCCCCTTTTTTTAAAAGGCAAAAAATACTTTGTTTTGCAGCTTATTTTTAACTAAAAGATGTCAAAACATACTCTGAAGAGAAAATATAGCGACAAACAGAATACTTTTTTCAATTTATTTCAGTTCAGTTTATTTATGTAGCACCAAGTCACAACAGAAGTCGTCTCAGGGACTGAACAGAAACATTAATATATAAAATAATAATTTCTCATTATTTACCTGAGGAGCTTTGAGTTTAACTCCATCACAGAACGCTCATCTTGAACAAGCATGAAGGCGACAGTGGAAAGAAACAACTCCTTCATGAGGAAGAAACCTCTAGCAGAACCAGGATCAGGACAAACATAATCCTGATCTTTTGTATTATTTTTAAACTTGTAAAAGTAGATGTTTGTAGCTGCTTAATGAATGTTTTTGAGTCTTTGGTCAAAAACATTTTGAGCAACAGGAGAATAACACATTTTAAAAGCTGCAATCCATCAGTCGGTTTTATTTACCCCTTTTTTCTTCTTTCTTTTGAGTTGTGGAGAGCTGGTGCTCATCTCCATGAGTCTGTGTGAGAGGTGGGGTACACCTGGACAGGTCTCCAGTCCATCACAGGGACACATAGAGACAATGAGACAAACAACCATTCACTCACCTAGGGACAATTTAGAGTTACCAGTCAGTCTAACATGCATGCTTTTGGTCTGTGGGAGGAAACTGGAGTACCATACTCAAAACTCCACATTTAAAGGCCGGGAGGAGAACCTGTGACCTCTCCTGCTGAAAGACGACCACTTTGACCATTGTCCCACTGTGCAGCCCACTTCTCGTGTCAATATCTTCAATGAAATTTTCTCACAGTTCAGTTCAGTAGACTGTGCGCTCGGTTCTGTTGATGTGGTGGGGCACCCCACTGGTATAACGGTAGGAGAAACACTGACTCTGCATCGATCACTGATTTATGGTCAAGTCTGAGCACGGAGCCAGTCACCCGAGTCTGACTGGGAACGAACAGAGACTGGGAACTGTGCAGCTCAAACCTTGAGACCAGCTGCTTCCTGAGGATCAGGAAATTGGCTGCTGGTTCTGATCAGCAGTCCTTTCAGGCAGCGTTTCATTTGTTTTCAGCATTTGTCACAAGTTTTGGAAGTTCTAGCTCATTTAAAGACAACATATATTTTGTTGTTACATTTATGCTCAACAGATCTTAAGCTTCATTTTATTTCATCTTTTTTTGGAACTGCACCTGCACTTTAGTTTTTGTGGTGGATTTTCTTCTATATTTTGTGCAAACTTTTTCAATCTAAATAACAGACGGATCTTTTTATTGTTTTATTTTTATACTTTGAGACTGAATATGTTACTATTTAAAGTAATTGCAGTAAAATTAACCCTTGATGTTTTTTTGTTGTTGTTGTTTTTATATAATACTGCAAAGCAACAAGTTAATTTTGTCAAATGAATAACTGATTTTTTTTTTTTTAACATCATAAACTTTGTTGTTATCGTCAGAATGCTCTGAAATATCACAATATTATGTTTGAACCATATCACCCGCCCCTATTTGAGACTCTGAGATTTAAGACTTTGGCAACAAAATGCACTTTGTTACTTCTGTACATTTATTTTGGTGATTTGTTCAAATCACCGGCATCGTTTCAGTGACCTCATATTGTCGGACTCAACAGCCTGTGCACAGTAACGAGTCACGCAGAAATACTACAGTCAGCCCACACATGGGGTTTATTCAGATTTTATTTTTTAAAGAAAACTTTTCTTTTTAACTTTTTGTTTTTGTTGGACAGATTTCTCTGGCTCTCCACTCCACCGCTTCAAGAAACCAGGATCCAAAAACTTTCAGAACATCTTTCCTCCTTCTGCAACACTTCACCTCTCCAACATCCGGTAGTTTGACGTGAACTCCACCCGTTTAGTCTGATGCACATTCTGATCAAGGCAGTGACGGTTTGATCTTTGATTTGTCAGGGATGGAGTTGGAGAGGACGACCTCCGTCTTCTGTTCTCCAACAGCGGAGGAACCGTCAAGGCCTTCAAGTTTTTCCAGTAAGGAACACTTTTATAAGACATTTTACAAATTACACCCACGTCCAAGATAACCTGCACAAGAAGAAACAAATGAGCTGTTTTTGTTGTTGTTTGGTCTGTTTTCATCCGTTTCTCTCACCAGGGACCGTAAGATGGCGTTGATCCAGATGACGTCAGTGGAGGAGGCGATCCAGGCTCTGATGGACCTTCACAACTACGACATGGGAGGAAATCATCATCTTAAAGTTTCCTTTTCCAAGTCCACTATCTAACCCTCGCAGCTCCTGCTCATGAAATCTTTGTCAAAACAACAACAACAACAAAACTACCATCTCTTGAACATTTCTGTGAATAGTCTTCAGTTGAAGTATTTTTTAAAATGCTAAATCCACTAATGTCCTTTTTGAATGAATAAAAGTGGTCGGCTTCGTAAAAGCGTTTGAGCTTTGACCTTTGACCTTTATGTTTTGAAAAGCGTCTCGGCAGCAGCTCCACGGCGGCGTCGCAGCAGCCCAGACTTGTACTTTAAATTTGTTCCACTGCTTTGTGCAAACGTTGGTTTCTGATATCGTGTCGCTCCTCAGATCAGCCGCTCGCTTCTCGCTGGATCTTTCTTGAGGTTTGTTATTTTTCTACATCGTGATGCTTCGTGAACAAACGAGACGTTATTTTGTGCTCCAAGCAAAAAGTTCAGTCACCTTTTATTTGATTTTTTCACCTCTTAAGATTTTTAGATGTTCGGTGACGTGTAAAGAAGTCCAGTGGCATGCAAAGGTTTGGGCGCTAATTTGATAAGAAAAAGAGAAATGATTGAACAGGTTGTTTGTGTTTTCTTATTTTAATCTCCATTTTTATAACATTGCTGCATAATTTTAGATAATTAAATAGCCTCTTTGTGTTTTATCACTCGCTGCTGAAAACAAAAAGGACTGATGTTTTTTGGTGATGTCTCTGTGTGTTTGTTTGTTAACAAAATATCTCATGAACCACTGGGCAGATTTGAGTGAAAATCTGAGAAACTAATGGCTTAATTCACATCTAGAACTGATTAACTTTTGGAGTCGATTCAAATCAACGCGACATCAGCCAGGTGTTGCTGTATGGTCTGATTTCACATAGTGTTTACAAGTTTAATCAAAATGACTTTGTCCTTATTGTGAAGGTGATAAAAGTTTAAACTTGTAAACCATCACCCCAACAGAACTTGAATCAGACTCAAATTCAGTGGGATTCCCACACGTTCCATGCGTTTATTGATACAAAACTAGCCACATAATCAATTCCTGATTAAAAAATGTCACCTTCACACCTTTGACAGTTCAGATCTACAGGTGGACAAACCTCTTAGCGTTCCAAATTAACATTTAAATTTTAATGTTGCTGCACCTCAAAGTCCAAAAGGTGACATTTGTTCAGGTCTTCAGTACCCTAGAAGTCTGCATCGTTCAAATCTACCCATAATTCTCAGTGTTGTAGTTTTAAAACTACCAAACAACCCCCTGCAGACGTTCCAGTGGCTGTCCAATCAGTTTAAGCTGTTTTTTTTTTTTTTTTAATTGACAGTTTCTCCTGCTTCACATCATTTTATTCATGTCTGCCAAACTGTGTTAAAATCGTTGTGTGGAGTTTTTGTTTGGAAGTTTGGTCTCCCAGAATCCTCCTTGGCACCATGAGGAATGTATCTCCTTCCCATTTAACTGAACATTGAAGAACCTTGGACAAACCTTTTTTATAAAGAAGAGATCCTGTTCAATCTTGTTTGATTTCTTTGTAAAACAGCTGTGGGGGCACAAACAAACAGGATGCATGCTGAACCTGTCTAAACGAGAAGCAAACATGTGATTCTGGTCTTGGTCTCTGGTTTTGAGGGGACCTGTTGGGACCACATGTGCCTTTGGTTTATCATTTGATTTCACCGTTTATACTTTTTTTACACCGAACATGGTGTTGGTCATGTTTGTTGACCTCGTGGTCTGAAAACTTGATTTAAACTAAAGAAGCTCATATTCCCTTTCTTCTGTATGAACGTATTAATCAAACGGACACAACTGGGTCAGTGTTCAATCTGTTTAATTTCTTTTTCTATCATTTTGTCTCAAATAGAACTTTATTCATGAGTTTATTTTCTGTTAAAGGTTTGTCATATTTTTTATTAGTTCTGTGAAAAGAAAAAAACATTTTGGACTAGCACAAATTAAACTCGTTTTTTCTACCAACAAGTCAAAGTAAAAGTGTGTTTTTGTGTTTGGATCGTTTCAAGCCTTTCTCTTCTGTATCACACCTAAAATAAACTTCTTACCCTGATCAGCTCTGCTCTCGCTCTTTTCTCCTCACGCTTCTTCTGTTTGCTGTTCTGTTCTCTCAATGGTTCACACTTAAACGGAGAACATTGCTTAGTTCAGTGGTTCCCAACCCGGGTCCCTGAGGAACACCATCCTGCATGTTTTAGTTTGTCTGCTCCAACACCTGATTTGAATGATATTGTGATTAACAGGCTTCT